TCGCGTCCCGGACCCGGTGACTTAAAACTCACGCCGGGTGCGTGTGCGTACGTGCCCAAGATCCCGAGAGGAGAATGGAGGAGAAGGGATTGTGGCATGACCATCCCCCCTGGGGGGTGATTTCTCGCTTTCTGTCTCTCTGTCTCTCTCTGTGTGTGTCTGGCGAGTGCACACGCCCTTATGGCGAAAACCTCTCAAAAAAAAAAAGAAAAAATCTGGCTCCAGTCCTCTACAGTATGAATGCAACTTGCCTTGGGAGAGTGTGGGTCACCTCTAGGCCTAGTGGTCACTGCAGGCAGGATGACATGAGGCAGATGAGGACCAAGGGGGATCCAGTCCAGTAGACAGTGGGAGCCACAGATGGTTTCATCAGGACAGTGGCACCATACCCACCTTTTGATGGTCTTGAGGGCTTCAATGCACCTCTTAGGTCAGGACAGGCACTGACCAGGGCTCTAATTAGTGTTCTGGGCCCAGCCATAGTGGCACAGGTGGTCAGGCATCACTGTGCAGTACTGGGAACCAGATAGAAGGCCAGGGTACAAATCCCAGGTCCCCCTGAGGCCTGTCCCACCCCATCCCGTGATCTCAGGGGTTCCTTGACCGGAGGGTGTTAGAACAGCAGAACAGCAGTGAGAGGGTGTGAGGAGGCGAGGTGTCCCATTTCTTCCTGTCGTCTGGACACTTTTGTGGTCTTATTCCCTGAAGTCTCGACTGGAGTTCGGAGGGCAGGACAGGCCTGCATAGTAACAGGGCCGTGTACGAGGGTCTCCGCAGCGTGGGGGCTGGAGGAAGGCCTGCACGTAGACCTTAACACCCAGACACTTTCTGGGCCTTTTATAATGACTTGCCTGTTATTCAAAACCCTACAGGAAACCACGTGTGTGGTAAATTCCAACAACACAAACATGCATCAGGTTCCTGAACCCCACTTCTGTCTCAGTTCTATTTCCAGAAAGGAGCACCGTTCACGGGCAGTGTGAATTTTCCAACCATGCTTTGGCATGTGTCCCTCTCATGGTTTTTACCTCGAATTCCATTACGGTTGGTAACATTTGCTCACAGTGAGCAAATGTTCATCAGGGCATGTGGATTTGTTCCAGTTGTGTTTTTGTTGGTTCCCTGTTATTCCACCGTGCGGCTACACTATGATGCTTTACCCAGACCCTGAAGCTGCGTTTCAGGTTGTTTCCCACTTGTACTGACAAACCATTCTGCAGTGAGCATCCTCATACGCACCTTCCTGTGGTTGAATTGACTCAGGAGTGCATTCATTCAACGCGTACGTATTTATGAAGCCTCCCCCCCAGGCCCCTCCCCGTGCTGGGCTGTGGGTTGATATCAGGTTTCAGCAGAGGCAGGAGAGGGGGGTCCCTCCTCTACAGACCTTACAGCTTATTAAAGTGCTTGTCCAACATGATGGGACCGTGTGGTTGTGTGCCCTAACCTGCAGTCCCGTCAGGAATACATGAGAACCTCCGTCTCCGATATCCTCAACATGATGGGACCATGTGGTTGTGTGCCCTAACCTGCAGTCCCGTCAGGAATACATGAGAACCTCCGTCTCCGATATCCTCATCATGATGGGACCATGTGGTTGTGTGCCCTAACCTGCAGTCCCGTCAGGAATACATGAGAACCTCCGTCTCCGATATCCTCCTCATGATGGGACCATGTGGTTGTGTGCCCTAACCTGCAGTCCCGTCAGGAATACATGAGAACCTCCGTCTCCGATATCCTCATCGTGAACGAATAGCTCTGAGTGGAAAGCCCGCAAGTCAGTGTGTGCATCTCTCTGTCCACACACCACCTCCCGGATCCTCTTACCACCCTCCGCTCATGCTTTCCCTGAGTGCTCTTGGCCATGTCCTTGTGGTAGACCAGATGCCATGGCCCTGAGGTACCCTGAGCTGCTGTCCTTGCTGTTCCTTCCAGGAAATCTGGTTCCACAGGTGACCTGACCTGAGCACAGGAGCCCCCTCAGACCTGTGATTCCCATCCAGGGCTGACAGTGAGTGGCAGGAGTTCCTCATCCATGTGCAGGGCCAGAGAAGGCTGTGGGGAGGAGAGAGCTGATGTAGGGTAGGACCCTGAGGTTGAGATCACAGTCAGGAAAAGACAGAAGTCCATCCTGGGCAGTAATGCAAAGACTGGCACCTGCCTTCAAGGAGAGAGCACAGCAAGGTCATTCTGGCTGCAGCTGGGGTCCCTGAAAGTGCTGGGCTATGACCAGAGTTGCCACTGTGAGTGACACAAGGAAGGGGGGTGTGGGGATGAGGGTGACAACATTCGGCTAGGAGGAGCTGGCCGAGTCGCACAGAGATTGGCTCAGCTCCAATATCAGGTGTGGGGTAGGAAGACACGGCGAGTCGAGGGAGGGATGGAGGCAGTAGACTGAGAATGACCTTGGGGCCTGATGGCGGAAAAAGTATGCTATTGTGTCTGTCCCTGTCATAGGTATGAGGGGCGGTACATCTGGAAGTGGTGGGGTTCCCTGGTGCCTGCTATTCATCCAGGACCTTCCATGTAGAGGCTCAGTTTAGACCTGAGGCTGTGGGCTGTGGCCTGGGGAAGGGGCTGGTGGTTGAGGCAGCCTGTGGTGGCCATGGTCCTTTGAGAGGAAAGAGAGGGGTGAGGACGTCCCTGCACACTGAAGGCTCAGGTGTGGGAGCCACAGTCCCTTGTGGTGTCTCGTTAGACCTGGGCCTTAGACAAGGATGTCAGGGCGGATGGGGTCCTTGCTGTGAAATGTGTGTGGTGTGGACCCAGGTGTCCCAGTGCCCCCTGCACAGGCCCTGGTAGAGGAGCGTCAGATGGGGCCGAGCAGGCTCGGGTGCTGAGTTGGAAGGAGACAGCACTTCAACCCCCTTCAGCTGTGACTGTGTCCAGGAGACATGACGAAGGTGACCAGGACAGAGACAGTGGGGTGTGAGCACAGGGCAGAGAGGACCACGGTGGGTGTTCAGCTGCAGGACGGGAGGGCTGGTCTGCCCGCATCCAAGGGTAAGAGGTCAGAGCACAGAGAAGTCTGGGTGCGGCACTGCCGGCTCTGGAGGTGGGGGAGGGGCGCAGCCCAGGGTGTAGGTCGTGTGGAAACAGGAAAGGGGAGGAGACAAGATCTGGCCGGAGCCTCCAGGAAGAACACACCCATGAGGGCACCTTGACTGTGATGTTTATGTCACCGACTTTGGGGTGGTGTGTCATGGCGTCAGTAGGAACCGAACCCAAGAGCAGTCACCTGCCTGGTCTGGCGGTGTGTGGATGAGGCACAGGGAGTCGTTCGGAGCTACATCATGGTGTGAAATGTTGCAGGGTTTTCTCACCTCTCATGTTGACAAACACACTTGGGCGGTGGCAGATCATCCTTGGGGACCGTGACTCTATGCCTCAGAACCCCAGCCTAGCCTGTGTTTGGAGTGTGGTACCTTTTTTGAGTGAACCTACATGAGAAAGTCACCCTTCCTGGGGCCCTCAGGGAAGGACTGAGAACTGCTGGTCCAGGAGTGTAGAGGAGGCTGAAGGTGAGGCCTAGGTAGGAGGAGGCCCTGGGGGCAGGTTGCGGGGAGACACTGTCTGGTCACCATGGGAGCCTGGGTGATGTCAGGCAGGGAAGCCCTGCACCCCTGCCCTGGATGCCCTGTGTACAGAGGAGGCTGGTTTCAGTGACATTCACGTCAGAAGGCAAAGTGGAAATTATGGGATGTGTGGTGCTAGAGTTCATGGGGAGGGCCTGGGCTGACAATGCTTGGTGCCTGACTTTGGGTCTGTCCCCACAGTGGTTACTCTGACATCCATCTCTGTGTCTCCCAGGGGCAAAGATGTTCTGAACTTTGGCCTTCACGACAGTGGAGAAACCCAGTGGGCAGAGCTCCACACCCAGGGTCCTGGATTTGGTGACAGGCAAGTTGATTTCCGCAGGCCAGTGGTTAGATGTGGCCCCTTGGACTGAGTGAAAAGGGCAGGAAGGCTGAGCGGGGACCACACCCATGAGGTGTGCATGGACATGGTCACTCCTGCCCTGGGGTCTCTGCGTGGTCCTCCCATAGCCCCTTTCCTGTGCTCTGAGACCCAAGGGCCTTCCAGCCAGGGCCAGGGCAGGAGCTGTCCTGGTGCCCGGTCCCTGGAGTAGTGTGAGGAGTGCTGAGCATGCTGCGTCTCACCCTTCCCTCTGTGTGTGTCCACTCTGGCCCTCCTCCCACCTCCTGTCACTGGTATCCAGGGAAGGGAGGAAGGGTTTGGGACAACTGAGATGAATGTTTCCGTGTGAGCCCAGACAGAAGAGATCAGGAGGTTCCGGTGAATTTCTGCCAGGTTCTCACAAGCAGGTAAGAGCCCCTGAGCGGAGGGGTTCTCTTTATTCAGATAATTTCCAGAGGACCCAAGGTGTGTCCCAGGCCCATTGTTACCCTGAGACCCTCTCACATCCCGAGGGAATAGGGGTCCTCATCTAGATCCACCCTGAGTCCAGGGAAGTCTTTCTGAGCCTTCAGAACCTGGGAGGGAACCCTCCCTACTGCGTAAGGGACCAGGATCTCCTCAGGACTCAGATCTGATTTTCTGCTTCAATGTCCTGGCCCTCTCCTGGTTGGGGTCTTATAGACCCTCCCTCAGCCCATCAGAGTTACTGGAGGAAGCTAAGAAGCCACTTCTGCTCTGTGGTTGATCTGGCAGTAAATGTTCTTGTCAGGGTTTAGTAATTCCTGAAAAAGAAAGAGGAGGCCCTAAACTTTGTAAGCATTTCAGAACAGTATCCCCGACCCTGGCTGATTCTGGGGTGTTCAGGGACTGAAATTGTTTGTGCTAAGGCGGGTTTACCTCCAGCTCCCTCCCTCCCTGCTCACCTCCCCTTTTTTCCACTGTTATTTGCTACTTCCTAAATCTCAAAGCACAGCCTAGAGTGGGGTGGGGTTGACTTAGGTCGCCCTTGGCCAGTGGGACCAGGATAGTCACTGCCCAGACCAACCTTGTAGATTGGAAGGTCTTGTCTCTGACCAGCGAGATCTTCCCCGCCTGCCTCTCCTTTTGGTCATTTCCCGTCAGGAGTGACAGGCTGTCTCCTGAGCAGCAGCCTCTGAGCCTGGACATAACACCGCAGTCCCTGTCCTGGCTGCACACCCCACCCTTACTGCCCAGGGTCCCTGACACATGTTCCCGGCTCCCACTCTGTGTCCAGGGCTCTGCTCAGGCCAACGGAGGGACCCAATGGGCTCAGGACAGGCCATGGATGGTCCTGCCTCTGAGCAGAGAACCAGCCCCTGGCAGGATCAGGCTCCCCTTGTCCTGTCCAGGTGTCTGTGTAGTAGTGGGGGTGACAGTCCCCCTGCCCTGGGTGTGTCCTGCAGGGACTGTGATGTGAAGGGTTGGGGTGGGGCGGGGATGGGCTCACCTGGAAGGAGGAGCTGTCAGAGGGACCATGGCCTGGGGACAGAGATAGGAGTTAGCGTGGTGTGTGAGTGGCACCTGGGCCTCCCTTCCAGTATGTCCAAGAGGTCCTCAGTTCCTGGGGATCCAGCGAGAGGGAGCACCTCTGAGGAGAGACCCTGCAGCCTGGTTAGGGACCAAGTAGGAGACCCCTGACCCAGACCATGCTGCTCAGGGCTGACCTGGCCTGTTGGGTCTCTGTACCAAGTGGCTCATGGGATGCCTCTTTGAAGTCCCAGGGAAGGGTCCAAAGCTCCTGGGTGACTCCAGGTATGGACACTGGGGCTAGCCTAGGGGCTCCTCCCTCACTGGGGCTGAATGGCACTCACCGGGAGTGGACACCGGGGGCTGGTGCTCCCTGAGGTCACCCTGGACACTGGACCTAGAAAAGGTCAGGTTACTGTGAGGGGCTCAGGGATAAAAGTCCCAAATTTGTAGTTAGGACAAGGGACAAGTGAAGAATGTTGGTTTGTGGCAGGGTCGAGGAGACCTTCTTTCCCCATCGATCCTGTGTAGGAGGGGCAGGACCAGGAGGGGGGCTGAGGAGAGGCCCTCAGAAGCCTAATTTGCCCTGGCCCATGGTGGGAGACCCTCAGGAAGATGTGGGCCCAGGAGAATGCTGACCCAGGTTCCTGGGACAGGGACAGAGGCCCCAGGGAAGGAGTCAAACATGGAGGGTTGGACTGAGCAGAAGGGCAAGGGCCTGGGAGGGAGAGCAGGGCCAGCTGTGTGCAGGACCGGGAGCCTCGCGTGCTGCACCCCATGAACTCGGGGTCCCTCCTGTGTCGGGTCCCTAACCCTTGCCAGAACACGACGAAGTGTAACGACGGCCCGTCCTCTCAATCCACCCACCTTGGTGAGAGGCATAAAGGACATTCCTGGACATGGTGTCCTAGCCAGGCCCAGGCTCTCCCTGACTCCCACTTCAGGGGCGTCAGCCCTGTTGGTCTGGTGGTTCCTCCCAGCCTGTCTAGGGGATCCTCTATTCTATACAGTGTGACCACCTCCCCTATCCACAGTATGCGAAGCCCCCTTCTTGGGTGGGAGGACTTAAATTAAGAACATGTGCTCCTTGGACTGAACTCTTATGACCCCCCCCTCCCCGGTAGCACTGAAGGTCTCCTGTGTCTGGAGCCTGGACAACACTCAGGGAGGGTCCTACTTGTGCCTAATTCACAGCCCAGGAAGGTCTGGACGAGCAGCTTAGGGCCAGCTGCTGGTGAGGTGGGGGAGATGGGCAAAGGAGGACACTGGAAGAGTGAGACCCAGCATCGAGGACCAGGTCTCCTTCCTCCTGGACTGTGGTCTTCTTGGTGCACTGGATCAGGGCGGGGAAAAGCCTGCGTACCTGCCAGTCCTTGTGCGGAAGAGGAAATACCCCAGGGTGGCCACCAGAGCCACCCCAAACAGTGCCGCGGTCACAGCGCCAGCAATGGCCCCCACAGGTAGGCCTTGGGCAATTTCTTCTGCTGAAAGGAGAAGAGAAAGTGAGTCAAGGACCAAGTAGATTCCAGCGGGAATCACCAGGGGCCCAGCAGGGGAAGAGGCCTGGTTCTGGAGGAGGAAGTGTCATGAGGTCTGTGTGTGGTTTGAGGCTTTGTCATGGCAACCTTTTCTGTCTCTTATCCCAGGCTGGAAGCCTGGGACTGACTCTAGGGCCCAAGTACTTCGCCCGCAGCCTGTGCCGCATCCCGTGCCACATCCTGTCCTCTCCCTTCGGTGCCTCTTTGCCTCTCATGTGGTGACTCTTCCCTGGGTTTCTTCTTTCCCACCGTGTGGTGATCTTAGAGAGCAGGCCCTCCCTAGTCAGCTCCATGCTGTCTAGTAGTAGTGACACTAGTGACTATTTTCAGGTGACTCCTGGTTCCAGGCAGGAAATCACACGTGACCTTTCCATCACCATGAGCGAGAGGGAGTATCATCCTCTTTTTACAGATTTAGAATTTGGGAGTTATAGTGCGCATAAGTCAAAGAATGTCATAGAACTGAAGAGTGGGAAAATAAAATTGTGACTTTTCCCCAAACCTTGCTGTGACTCTAAAAGATCAGGCACCATTCCAGCACTATAGTTTTCACAGGGTAGGGACAGCATTTTTGTTGCTGTTTGAAAAAATGTATTAGTGGAGGGAACCAGCAGTTAGCGTAATGGCTATGTCGCTGGACTCCCATGTAGTCGACGGCGGTTCACGTCCTGGACCCGGTGGCTTAAAACTCACGCTGGGTGCGTGTGCGTGCGTGCCCAAGATCCCGAGAGGAGAATGGAGGAGAAGGGATTGGGGCGTGACCATCCCCCCTGGGGAGTGATTTCTCGCTTTTTGTCTCTATGTCTCTCTCTGTCTGTCTGGCGAGCGCATGCGCCGTATAGCGAAAACCTCTCCAAAAAAAAATGTATTAGTGGAGTCAAAAGGCATATTAAAAAATGCTCAACATCCCTCATAAGGGAGATGCAGATCAAAACCACAATGAGATTCCATCTAACCCTAATCAGAATGACTAAGATGAAAAAAACAATAAATGATAAGTGCTGGTGAGGATGTGGTGATAGGGGAACTCTCCTCCACTGTTGGTGGGAATGTAAATTGGTCCAGCCACTGTGGAGAATGATATAAAGATTCCTCAGGGATCTACAAATAGACCTACCATATCATCCAGCAATCCCACTCCTGGGTATCTTACGAAAGGACAGGAGAATGCTTAGTCAGAAAAGTGCTTGCAGGGGCCAGCAGGTGGCATGGTGGTTGGGGTGCTGGACTCCCACATAGCTGACCATGTTTCGAATCTTGGATCTGGCAGCTTGCTTTCTCTCTCTCTCTCTGTTAAGCACACATGCCCATAGCAAATTTAAAATAATAATAATAATAACAATAATAAATAAACAAAATAATTTTTTTTAAAAAGTGCTTGCACATCTATGTTTATTGTGGCATTATTCACAACTGCTAATGGAATTGTGAATTCCATGGGATTTACATGGATCCAACAGAAAAATGGGTTGGAAAAGTGTGGCACATATACTCTATGGAATACTACTCAATCATAAAAAACAACAAGACCCTGGCTTTTGATAGAAAGTAGATGAATATGGAAAATTTACTGCTGAGTGAAGCAAGTCAGGCTATGAAGGAGAGACACTGTATGTCTCCACTTAATATATACTGACAGCACTGAAACTGAAAGATTAGAGGATATAGACACATGGAATAGATACCAGATATAGTATGGGAAGATGGTGGTAGAGGAAAAGAGTGTGAAGAAAGTCATTAAGGAGAAAACTAGAAAGGCAAGACATTTATGGGACATAGAAATGGATTATTATCTGTTGATGGTAACGTGTATAGTATCCCCAACTGGACTGGCATGAAATGTATTCATGTTGGAAAATTCACTTTACATGCTAAGTGATGTGTAGTGATTGAATGTATAAAAGAAATTAAGAGAAAATAAAATATATTTTAAAAATGTTTTAGGATTGGGACTGCTGAAGACCTTTACCCTCCTATCCCCCAGATCTATCCAGGACAAGCCAATCACCAGCCATTTATATCTGAGTTCTTTACCCTCCTGCCACCTCCCCACCTAGACCTAGCCAGGAAAAGCCACTCACCAGCCATCTATATTTGAGTTCTGAGCAGCCCCTTTCAGGAATTAGGACCACTGAAGATATGCTACCCAGGCTTCACCCTCCTGCCTCCCAGATCTAGCCAGGGTCAGATTAATCCTCAATTTCCATGGAAACTGCTACACAAAGGGAGAAAAATGGTACTTCTTAGAGATTGCAGATCACCTCCTTTGCATGCCTCTTGATTGCTCAGACTTAACTCCAAAAACTAGCAAAAAAATCTATAATCCATCAGATGACCAGAAACCACCTTAGAGGCACAAGAAATATGAGGAACCAAGAAAATACCTCTCCCCTACGGGAAAATAATAACTCCTCATCCTTCTCAGACAATACAAAGGAACTCACGGAAATGTCAGATAAGGAATTTAAAATATTCATAGTGACAAAGTTAACAGAGATGCAAGAGAAGAGAGAAAATGAACTCCAGAAGATGCAGGAGAAAAGAGACAACGAGTTCTAGGAGGTGAGGAATTTCTTGCATCATCTGGAAGAGGAAATAAACACCATAAAAAAGAATCAAACAGAATTGTTAGAGATGAAAACTGTAATGAAGGAAATCAAAACCTCCCTTGGAAGTATTAAAAGCATATTAGATCACGTAGAAGATCGAATCTCAGAAGTAGAAGATAGAACCTCTGATCTAGAAAAATTCACCAAAAGACTGAGAAAATAACCAAAAAAAGAGAGAATATTATACGAGTATTACTAGATACTATTAGACGCCCAGACATCTGGATAATTGGTATCCCAGAAGATGAAGAAACTAATCAGGGCAGTGACAATCTATTCCATGAAATCCTGGAAGAAAACTTTCCAAATCTAGAGAGGCACTCAGATATCCAGACCCAAGAAATACAAAGAATACAAAGAATTCTCCACATAGAATCAACCCAAGAAGATCTTCTCCAAGGCACATCATAACTGGGTTGACCAAAATAACAGAAAAAGATAAGATACTAAAATTGGTAAGAAAAACATCAAAGGATATTACCTACAAAGGATATCCCATCAGGCTAATGTTGGACCCCTCATCAAACACAATGTGATCAAGGAAAGAATAGAAAAATATATTCAAAGTGTTAAGTGAAAAACAATTTCGACCAAGAATACAATACCCAGCAAGATTATCTTTCATCTGGGGAAAAAAAAGACAAAAACATTCTCAGATAAACAAAACCTGAAAGAATTTACCAACAGCAGAGCAGCTCTTCAAGAAGTGCTGAAGGGAGTGCTATACCAGGAAAACTAAAGTCAGACACACAGAAATAAGAGTAGAAAAAACAACCAAGAAAATGGCCAGCTTAATGCTAGGGACAAGTCCAGAGCTGAATGTTAACTTCCAGAATTTAAATAGAAAGATTCAGACCACAGTAACACTGCAAATTCAGTAGAAGAGAGATTAATTCCAGGAGACTGAACTGGTGAAATAGAATTTTATGACTTTTGACTAAAATATTACTGATTTTCTTCTATGCTTTGTTTTCTGGATTTAGGGATTTTTGTCTTTTCTTGAACTATTGATAATTTAATCTACCTACTATTTGAACTGTATCCTAACCTTTTTCTTGACTTTAAGTCTTAAGCAAATTTCTCTTAACATTTTTTGATTTTGATCTACTAAAACTAAAACTGTTTTTCTTAAAATTAAAAAATTCATTAAAAATACCTATTGAATAACTGCAGTAAGCTATGTAGCCCCAGCTAGGTGCTACTTTATAGTATGTTCATTTTATTTACTGAGGTTTATGCCTAAAGTCAGACATGTGTTCATAGATATGTATATATCAGCTGTGCTTGCTATTGAAAGTATTTAGATTAATAAAGATCTTTAGTGAATCAATAAAATGTGAAAAAAAGGGCATGGAAAGCTACTGTAGATACCAGAGACAGTGTGGGAGGAGGGTGGGAAAAGGCAGAGGGTGAGAGGTAGGGAATCAAGGGGGGGAGGCAAAAGATATAAGAAACAAGAAATGGAAAAGTATTTCTTGATGATAACATGTATGGTAACATCCTTGACTGAGCCAATATACAGGGTATTCTGGATGGAAAAATCTCATTTTGTACAGTGAATGAATGTAAATAAAGATATTTAAAATAGAAAAAAAAATGATAGAAAGAAGAAAAATGTATTAATGGATGAGGATAGCCTAGACAATCTTCCTGACCTCAATACTTGATGAGGCTGCATTGATAAGGATTTCTCAGTTTGAAGAGGATGTGTACTTCCTGGTCTGTGGATTGAATTTATGGTGAAGAAATCTCTAGAGAAAAGTGGCTACAGTGTTAGCAAAGCCTGACACTCTCACCCTCTTCACAATAGATGTTTCTGGCCCTGCTTTTCCTTCCTGTGGAAAGTGTACAGTATGATCATTCCTGTCCTCCAAGTGTCTGGCACACACTGTTCTCTGTGGGCAATACCTGTGCTAGTGTACACAGCCTGACACAGCTTAGAGCCAGGATCTGGCTCCCAGGACCAGCCCTCAGGCTCACTCTTT